GCCAAAATGTCAAGGTAAATCCGAGATTTGACAAAGTTAATTTCTGAACCACGTACTTGTTTTGATTGATTGTTGAGATTCGCTTTTAAGTGAACCGCCGGCAATACTGGCAGTGGCCAAAACCAATGCAACCGTATAAAATGCGACGGGTCTTTCTCGTTAGAAAAAGTTAGATGCAAATGAAAGCACAGAAGTGATAAAACTAGTAACGAGGCCATGATCTTTTAAGTAGTTGAGTAGCTTAAACAGAATTGTGGATAAATCCGCAAATGTTATTGAGAATCTCTTGAAAAATTCAAATGGGAGACCATGACGACCACGACGATAGCAGCGTCACGTGCGCGTGCTGCACTAAGGAACGAAGCAGCAGCTGTCCTGTCCGTATGGACAAGGGTAAATGGGTTAAGATTAACTTTGTTTAGGACTCTAACAGTGAATACATGCGCTACGCTGTATTTATTCAAGTGGCGTAATGGATATCATGCCGCACGTTGCTTTTGGCCCCATTTTTAGGACATTTGGAAAATCCCTTGAAGTAGTTTTGTAAACTGAACAAAACTCGTATAACCCATATGATGCGAGATGTTTTAAACAACTCGATATAGTCTCTCCAGCACTATCGACCTCTACTCCTGATATGTTGACCATTACTCAAAGGGTTAACAGCAAAATTTGATTGATTAGAGTAGCACGAATGCCCTAACGAAAGCTGTTAGAAGCTGATATTGTTGCAGACGCATCTGTATTGGTAACTTTACCTTTTTCAAATGGGTGACAACTGACACTAGCCGAAATATTTACATAAACTATAAACAAGTATTAGTGTCGGCACAAGGTAACACAAGAGTGTAGAATAATTGACGGACGCCCATATAGTGAAGTTGTAGTACATCACATTCATCAAGCAACAATGCATATATGTCTAATCGAGAAGATATCGTTCGGACATCGTTCAGGGCTATTTATATGTCAGAAATCTGAGATAACCCTTGCTGGTCGTCTAAACCGTTGTTTGTCTTCGACAAGCTCCTTAATTTAGTTGCCACTTAGTTGCTATGGGGGACCTAGCAACGACGGATCTACATGCTTGGCAATGTTCCCAGCCGGCAGACTCTGCGGTGGCCACTTTTCCTGTTTCTGTGGTAAATGTTTAGGTTAGTAATCATTGTAATATTCAACAAATCACAAGCCCTAATCATACAAAAGCGGATGATATTAGATGATCGTGCGTTCTAGACGCTGTTTATTAGCAAAAGCATAATTTTTATAGGGGTAGATCTAGGCAAACTTTTCAGAAGCAAAGCTACGATACGCCTCGTACTGCTTTCTAGCTAATGAATACATATAACGCACAATTTAGAACGATATGACTGCTTCCTTTCTGAAATAAAATGTTGTGCTTTGTTACATCTGTAAGACCTACCAGTAATGTAGATTTGACAACAATATTTGTTGACGAAGGAAAGAATCGCCTGCTGATATTACCGAGCAGGGTCGGCATGTGGCAATCAAAATGTTAAACATATGGAAATTATGTGACTTACTGATGCTGTCGTTTGTACGCGACAGGTTTCACAGGGCTTCGTGTTTACCTAACGGCGCGGCGTATCCAAGCACGTTTCCTTCGATTTTATTTCGATCTGTAAACGATTGTTAACAAATAAAATGAATCGCAGCGCAACGGACGTAGTAAAGTGGAGAATTATATCAAGCTGGTTTATGCCCTTAAAGCTAGAATGTGTATATATATGTTGCGGATGTGCGCGGATTAGTTTTAGCCCATTTGACTCAAAGATAACGTCCGGGACAGGGGTTCGAGCACTCGATGTATAGAGTCGAATTATAGCTAGTAAGTAAAGAGTTCTTCAGATTGTCACAAACTGTGCCTGTGGCTTATGTGCTTATGGCTTATAGTGGTTTACATAGTTTTCGAGTTGTACTTTAAAGGTTAAATATTAATAAGTAGCTAAAACCATCGAGTAGCGAACGTGAAAGTTTATTAAAGTTGATCTGCAATCAGTGGTATATTAAAAATTTCTGCTTCTAACCTTCGTTCGTACGATCATTCGTTTTAAATTCGAATCTTGTGGAAATTGTTACGAACTGCATTACTTTGCTATTATTACTTAGCTGCTACTGTAATCGTCGATTTCTTAACCTTTTTCTAGCTCACGCTGTCCATAAAATAAGAGTATATTATTTATTTAGTCTTTAAAGCAGAGCATGGCTAAATCATACTCGCCAGTTAAGGGCAGTCCGGGTCGAGTTGGCATTGTTTACAAGAGTGACCGTTTGATCGCGAAAAAAGAACAAAGATTCACAGTTCATTCATCTTATACTTCGGTCTATAATCAAGTGCCGTGTGAGTACTACGGCAACACGTTGATCCTTTTCAAGCAGACAAAAACAAAGTGGGCAAGATCCGAGTCAGCCAGAACGACCCACGACCGTGCGACCCGTAGTAATTTCAAGGCTAGCGCCTCACCCAGTTTGTGTTCATTGAGAGGAGCTATAGAGAGAAACATACACACAACATGTTTGTATATTCAAACTCCACAAGCGGTCACAGTGAAAAAAATCAAGCAGCTGCAACCCACATGCGAGCCTTTGAGGCGCAAGTCCTTGCTCTCTGTCTGCTTTTTGTGCTTACATCTCTCTATAATTTACTCGGTTGTAACTTGGCTAGAGCGATCCGAGGGGCACAGGACGTCTGCGGACAAGCCTAGAGATCCTTCGAGCAAAAATGGTGAGCCACACAGCAGCAGGAGCACCAGCCTTACCCAATGGCAAATCTGAACATCGGGCAATCACGAGAGAGTATTTCACCCTGGTGACGACGATGACGATCGTAATAGTGGTGGCGTTCTCTAGCTATTTTTTTGAACCATTGTTTTTTGTGCATTACATACGGCTCTGTTTAATGTTATAGTGTTTGCAATTTTCAAGTAAAGCTGATTTACACATGAATCGCGTGAACTTTAAATGCTCTCGTTCTTCGCGGGCCATATTGGACCGTGTCATGCTCAATGCATGCTTGCGTTCGTTAAGTAAGTCCAAAAACTTATTTTTGGTTTTACAAAGGCATTTCCAGTCTGATTATATCTCTGTAGTTTCCGCTGCAGGACACCGCTGTTGTGTGGCGACTTCTTTAGCCAATTGGTTAATAAATAAGATCTATGACTATCGATTTGCTAAGGATCAGTTTCTATAAATGTGGATGCTCACCCAGAAGCTGACTAAGTCATCTTCCAGCGACTATTTTTCGGTCCTCCACCGGTTAGATCACCGGAACGCAACAGGTTTTAGCTTGCAACAATAGCTTTTGTTGTTGTAAATTCTCCTCCTCTCCTCTTCTTCTCTTTACTAGGCTGCGTAGTAGCCGGGGGTGAAATCAGAAGGTGAGATTTGCACGGAACCGGAGAGGTTGCCCGCTTCGATGATATGGTCCGTGGCTTTAGAGTTTTGCGACGAGGAGCGGCTCCTCTTCCCTGGGGACGTCTCTCGTAAATCGTGCCTAATGTAAGGGAAACCGCCTTAGAGACGGTGTGGCTTAAGCCCGAGGTTCACTTAGTAAGAATGTTTAAATCGCTGTTCTTGACCAGTGTTAAGAGATTTGACATGACACACCTATGTAAAACAATCGAACGAAGATAAAAGCTCAGTGCTTACGCGTGTTTGTACCTATGTGCTGAAAGTGGCAAAGGGTTTTAAAAGTAGCAAATTCGAAAACGACGTTATCTAAGATTATTTAAAGAAAAGTCGATGTTGTTCTCTTTAATTAATAATGTCCGATCCTTGCGGATATCAGTTTTCGCGCTAAAGTGATGTGAAATTTACACTTGGAAATCGAAACTCAAACAATACAGTCTAATAGATCTGATATATGGCCATTGTATTTAAATACAGTAACAGTCAAACAACGATGGATGGGCTCGTATAGCTCGAATCTTGTTCTAGTTTTTTTTCCTGAGAACTTTTTTTGGGAGACACTGAACAGTATAAAAGTATATAAACTCTAATGGAATTATCAGCAGATATTGGGCCGGTTTGTTCGGCGCAGCTGTTTCGCTAAAGGGTAAATGAATCTCTTGATATTCTTGCGGCGATTTGAATTGACTGAATGCTATTCGCGCCATAAAAACGATTAATTAATTAAAAAGGGGGTTTCAAGTCGACCAAGTAAAAAGCCCATTAAGATATATGTTAATCAATTTATTTATTAATTTTAGCTATTTGGGCAATGACGAGATTTCCAATGATCTGTATTGGACATAAACATGTATTTTGTGTCAATATTTTTATTTGTAGCAGACCTCTTGCCCTTTTGGAGGGAAATTTAAAACCAGTTCCATTTGAAAGGTTTTCAGTAGTAATGCAGTGAATGCAACAAAGACATGATGATTCGGTCAGTCTCTCGCTCGAATGTCGATCGCTCCGACAAACAATGCGCTAACGATATTCTGTCTATTGTCCTTTTATTTATGTTGTAATCATTTTAACAATTTGATTTATATATGTATATTTGTAAGTGGATTGTTTGGACTCGAATTTTGTGTATGACCATATTGATAAAGAACGTCTGTAGCTTAATGATTTTTCAAAATGAGTCTTCATCGACATAGCCGGCTACAAGAGCAAAGTAAGAATTATGCTTACGAATCAGTATATGTAGACATTGTAGGTAGTATTGATAGTTTTTACTGTTAGTTCACTATTAATATTATAACATTTAACTAAAGTGGCATATATATATATATATATAGAAGGCAAAGGCTTTCGAGACTGGAAATAATAGAACGAGTTAAACATAGAAGTAAGCAGCAGATGCTTTCACATGATTGATTGATTGATATAAAATTACCGGCTGTAAATAGATGGCCTCGAGCTAAATGTGGTCCATACTCACGAGGGTATATATTTTTTTGCATTGATTTAAAAGTAATGTAATCACACTACTTGTATATACTTTTAACATATATACACATATATTTGTTTTTCAGAAACAAAACGAAAGAAGTTCCACCCATTTCGAGCGGTTCGTAAAATCTTTCGCTGGGGCTCAAAAGTGAAACGTGTCAAATGTTCTGAAGGTCAGTGTCTATGAGAATGAATTTCGGCATTTTATCGGCACTAGGTAGCATATCGTTAAAGTAAAAACGTTTCATTATTTGATCATTTTCAAGTCGTTGCGTTCGTTATATATTGTTTTTTAAGTACCTTTGCCAATAGGCCACTCACTCCCCGCTTGACAAACCTTGGAAATTTATATTTGCGTTCGTGAATACAACATGTCTATGTGTTCCAGATAACCCCGATACACTCACACCCGGTCACTGTATGTAATCGTTTGAATGTCCCCTTCATTCGCCCTGTTTCTATACTGACAAACTACATTCAAAGACGAACTCTCCGTAATTCTTAATCACCCCCGTATTCGAAGCGATCATCGCCACCGTGGTCTCTGGGGTTGTAGAATCGGAAGGTCGTACGACGTTAGCTGACTCCGTCGCAGCTGCCCCTAGCGTAGATGTTTCAGACACTTCGGCAGCTTGAAAACAACCTTGAGGGGGTAGGATTACCGCTGGCGTAATCCGGAGTCTGGTTCGAGTCACCGCTGCTATTACTACCTGTGCCGTTTTTAACCGCCTTATCATATCACATAGAGCTAAGTCACAGATTTGAAAAGGGTTTCGTCAGTCGTTTATCCTAGCTTTCCGTGCTTTTCTATGAGGAAACAACGCAACGAGATACAGCGAGAGACAGATGAAAGTACGGACTTGTTCTAGACAGGAGTATATGGTTTTCTACGAGAATGCAGATTCGCTTTGCTCCAGAGAGATTCGGTAGGCCTCCGTACGCGACCAGTCTTTCCTGTATCAGAGATTTAGCTGGTTGTACGTCGGCAACATGTACACAGTCGTATCACATGCTAATAGATCGTGAGGCTACCGAGCAGAATGGTTCCCTTAATCAGCTCTCACGATTTGGCCAGATGTGTTTAGGTAAGATGCGCTGTTAGTTGGACTGTTGATCTTTCGAACGATTCATCCACCACGACTTCGGCCAAATCCATTTAAGTCTAGCCATCGCTTACTACTGTGACGGTTCTCGAAGACATACACGAACGTCATCAGTATATTATTTTTCATTGTTTTGTGTTGCATGAGTCACTATTACGTCATGTTTGTCCTACGAAAACGCTGCGGAACATCAAATAATATGCGTTATGATTGACAGCTTCTCAATATAAGTTTCAGAGTACACAATGCGTACGCTGAAAAAGTATATATACATATGTATATCATTTTCTTTTACCGAGTGACTGCGCATGAACTAATTTTCTATTACATGTCCCATCTGGTGTGGTCATCATTCTTCAGGTGTTTCGTCAGAAGGCGGTGGGATAGTCACGTCAAAGAAATCTCTTAGCGTAGGAGAGCTTCGCCAGGCAGCGTTAGGTGACCCACTTGACCCAAACATGGATCTTGACGATCATTCAATTGACATCAATGACCCGACTGGTCTCGGTAGGCTTCTATCAATAGAATTCAAAATTTTCCCGCGTCTTCTTGTGCTCTCAGCTTGCAAGTACCTAACGGTTGAAACCATTTTGGAAAGGGCTAAAAACGTTGTTATTGAACTGCTCTAAAAGGTATTCTGTTAATATTCTAAATTCGATCGAATCGTTCATTTTGTTAATATTATTCAATTTTATGCATTGCTTAGACTAGATCGTCATCTCTATTCTTCTCTGCAATGGAATCTGCAAGATGTCACAAAAAAATTTCTTCTTGCTTGAGATTAGCCCGTAGGTCTGAATATATGGTTTTGAAAGCCTCAATCAGCCGGTTTATGGTACAGTGATTTCAGTTGTACTAATGAAGGAGCACTCAGTCAAGTCGATGAATATGCTAGCTTGATCGGCATCAAATTGGCTGATAGATAATTTAATATAATAACACATTGACCATCCATACCGCTTCATTATCACGGACAGTTTCGCCTCCTTTGGTGTTCAGATTTCAATCAGGTCCGGTCAGTATAAGCTTGTTTTTTAAAGACAACATCATCAACTCCTGCTTCAATGAATAATAAATAGAATCACTTCGGCCTTATGCTCAGCTGTAGGCAGCGGCGCAGGATGTGGAGTGGCAGCCGGAGCTGGACCAGGCGCAGGACTATACTCAATGGCAGGACTGTCATTATCACACGATTCGGTATTCAGTCCGGACACGTCGACCCCTGCAGAGATGGGGCAAATCATCCATCCGGTGCCTGTAATGACTGGCATTAGCATCACCAACAGCCTCTTCAAGGTAAACCAGCCTAGTTAGTCGCACCTCTAAACAACAACAACAACAACCCAGTAAAGGAGAATATCAGATAGTTCAAATTAACTTAATTCCTCAAGTAACGTCGACATTTAAATACCTGTACAAATATCTTCAGCTATACACGCTGATGATATAGACGGTAGAGAAAGATAAAGCATCGAAATTAAAGTGGAAACGATAGCGTAGGTGTTTTTAAAGGTAATTTCTATTTTTTTTTCGTCCAGTAGGAGTTCGAGCACAAATTGGCAATTACGTTTCCCCACAATTAAACCAAACTCGAAACCAAAAAGCGAAATAACTTTTTTTATGATTCCCGAGCTCATTGCAGTACAGTAACCGCTACGTATTTGTCTAAATGCTTTTATTTTTAATTTTAACAGAACGAGTTGTTCAATCGCGTTAGAGCTAGACAAGCTGGCGAGGAAGACAGCGACGAGGAAGAAGATGAGGACCCGGGTCTCCCCCGGAGCCCTTGTTCTCACACACCGCCCAATGCGGGCGAGCATGCCTCTGAAGGTGGCCTGTTACTGCCTTGCGGCGGGGTAATTGGATCCGACGGACGCGTCCCTGGAACTCTTGGGACACACGCAGGACAGCACCCTCTCACAGGCAGCATCGCCAGCATCTTGCAGCACTCCTCACCCGTCAGTGTCCCACCCTATGCGATGTTTATTTATATTGCCAAAATAATTATCCATCTGCTGCTGTTAATGGCTAGTGTTTCGTACGAAAACGATATGATTAGAGTTCGTTATCAAATATCGTTACATTCATGTCTCGCTTTTGCTCGAATTTACATTGTCTGCTTTCAAGACAGCCGGTATTATGGCGCCAATGTATACGGAACCATGATAAGATATTGATAATATCACATGCCATAAATGTTGGGAGCGTTTAAAGCAATAACTTTACTTAATAATAACGATATTGAACGTATCGGCTGAATAAGTGGATAATAATCGATGTCAATCCAATTCGCAAATGAATGGCTTTTTCTAATGAAGCATACTTATGGGGTAGCGCTGCTCATCTTTCACTGTCAGCCAGTGGCGTGAAGGTATCAAAATATTTCTTTACTCATATACGAACTAGCTTTTCTGTAGGAATACTCCTTCGTTCGATTCTGTGGAAAAACGTTCACGCTCGTCGTCTCGCAAGGCCATCATGTGTGCTATGTGTATGCCCTCCCATCATTTCCTGGGAAGTTTAAGCCTACTCACTTGGCAAGGACAAACAGAAGTCTTCTTCCATTCCCTTGAACAAACGGCACTCAGCTTGATGCATCAGATCTCGTAGCCTTAGAGGCAGTTAAACCATTGTAGAACCTGTGTTCTCTAAAAACCAACTCGCTAAATACGTATACCGAAAAATATATAAAAAGAAAAATTGCAACCTAACCATGAACACTCCTATTTCTTCATTGCGTGGCTCCTGGCAACAGCGAACAATTTATGGGGTCGGCTTGCCGCTGCCGCCACTGCTCCGCCCGCCATATTGGGTGTGTCGTGTTCTACAAAGTCTTGCGGTCCTCGGGCGCTCGGCGAGATCTGTTACACCCGTAGCAGCAGATGGAGCAGCAGGAGGGTTTGCTTACGCGTAATTAGCCTACCTAACACCGTCTGTATTCGCTAATGTTGGCAGGTTCTTCGTCTTTTCCTTCGTTCCAAACTCCCGTTGCGGGCTTAACTCAATGAGCCTACGCGGCCGAAATAGTCTTTGCTCATTAGGCCGTTCCTTCTAGGCCAAATGGCGTGGAAGAAAGATGAAAGAGAGGGTGAGATAGAAGGGAGAAAGCATTCGCCTATTGCGTCCGTAACTTGGGCCGATAGCTTTCTGTTTCCTGTTTTATCGATGATGCATACATATGGCATGTTGTTGTGTAAATGTTACGTTCTCTGGCGTAGTTCTTGACAGGGGTCTACTTACGTTGTCAGTGTCAGAAAAAGACTGTTACGACAGCGGTGGTTAAATATTTTAGGCTGCTTGGCAGCCCCTATGGGACAGACACTCGATGGAGCCTATGAAGGGACAACCGAAACATCAGAACGATCCGCCGCTGTGTTCCGTATTTGACCGTTGTCTTCCTTTGCCACGGAGAGGGAAAGAGATAGCTCGCGTGCGCAGGTTATTCATATGCTAGCACACGGAGCCGCCCGAGATCAGGAAGCGCGGCCTGACAGGCAGCATAACTTGGGCCGGCATTTCAATGAGCGACAGTCGAGTGCAACGCTACAGTAGGGTGGATAGGTCAATGAATTGGTGCTTTGTTGTAGCACTTTCCAAGGTAAAATTTACGTGCTCGCAAGAGTTGCGTAACAACTGAGTCGGTTCTCGTGAGTAGTGCAATGCGGCTTGACAAGACGAAATACTTTACAAAAAGGCCAGGATTCAGAAGAGATTGTATGTGTCTGCAGTACTAACGACTACAGCTGTTTCCTATACGTTACTGGTCCGCAGCTGACGAAGGGCAGAAGGTTTTTGTTATGTGAGTTAATAGCTACATCCGGCTGAGCAATCTAGAAATACGAGCGAAGTTGTCCTTGTGCGCGAGTGACAGTTAGCGGGATCTAGTGAAACACGGAACGTTACTAACGTGAGTTTTGTACTTTTTCTCTACTTCTGCTGTGGCTACTGCTGACGTGTCGTTTCTGCTGCGGCAATTTTTTGTGGTGGTTTTCCACTGGTCGTCGAGTTACCCCTTTCGTGATGGCTGTGACACAGGGCAACAAAGCGAAAGCGAGGAGCACGTGCAGTGCGGGCAGCCTCTCCAGTATGCTTAGTTCCGAAACGGACGAGGTAAGTTAGCTCACTCTTGAAAAATCTGCAGAGAATTGGACATTTACTTGACAGTGCATTACTTAAAAAATTTAAATAGAAAAAAAAAATTTCTGCGAAATGCTGTTGAGAAATTCAACGATACGATTGCTTACTTATAAATTCTGCATATCGCAAAAGCTTTGAATAATAAGCACAACACTCGTATCTAATTCTCTGTGTCCGTCTGTAAGATTTATTAGTCTTAGTAGATCAGTTTCCCAATTCTCAGAATTTCTACTGATATTTGTTTGTTCTGCCGTATCAGTAAGACGGATTAATTCGGAGTGAAATTTTTAATCTGTTCATAGAAGTGTAGCTTATTAGTTATGGTATCTGATAGCCTTTTTTATCGTTTGATTACGGATTGCTTAGTGCATTGTACTAAACAGCATTAGGAAGTTGTGATTATTATAAGCATTTCTAACTTTCTTTTATATGGGATAATGCAGGCAAAAAATGGAAACTTAATGATAAATTTTTGACTAGTTGCCGATGAAAGAAACGCGGCCCCTTACAAGTCTGTTTCCATTTCGTACGCTAGCTCCTCTTCTCCCAAGTCAGCAGTGACGGGAAGAAGTCTAATTCCTAGTTGGAGTATTTCTCCGTTCCGTTCTCTACCTCAAGGCATTAACCCGATTTTGACGGAGGACTAAATATACTCTTGGAACTCCATATCACATATGCAACATTGAACCTCATACGGGACTGTGAGGGATCAAACGTACCACAGTTAAACCAGTGAATGGCCGTCGGCCTGTGGGTAAAGGTGCTGATCTTGCTACTGACATCGAGCCACCCGTTTAGAATTAGCTATTAAAATTTAATTTCATACATATCACGCAATATTATAGAGCCACCGTTTTTGCTTGTTAGTATTAGTTATTTAAGGGATTGGGGTGAGCTTATGTTGTGGAATAGACTGACTAGTTTAGCAGTAAATGAATAGTGATTGCCGGCCAATTGAATAGAAACGTGAAGTTTGTATGCTGGAAGAAAGCTCATCGGCGTTCTTTCAAAGAAAACCAAATCGCTTGGGGAAAGATTAGTCATAACTTCAAAGGAATTTTCTGCAGCTCTTCTACGAGGTTGTCCGTCCATCGTCATGTCGCAGGTCCATCGTTTGTGGAAGAGAATGCAGCCGATATTACTTTTCCTCGGTATATTTGTATCTAGCAATAAGGTATTAGAGAACTTAGGACGAGTCCATATGTTTTGCGGTTACCACACCCACCATTTTACTAACCTCAGTTAGGCTTATGTTACTTTTTCTATTTATTAGAACGACGCCTCTTTAACACAGATCGTTGTTCATTAACATGACGCGTCCATAACACAAATCTTCGCAGGATTCACTGAGTGCAGGCGCTTCAAACAGTCAGCATAGTTCAGTTGGCGTTAGCGGAGGGGGCCAAAGCAGTGGCAGTGCCGTTGGGGGCGGGGGCGTCGACAAGGGCGGTCAGATGAGTCACAATGCGGCCCGTCACAAGATCGCCATCAAGCCCAAAAAGAACCACGGCCGAAGGAGGCCTGTGCGGGCCACCCCCACGGAGCCTTCCCTCCCTGCCACACCTGAGGAACGCACCACTCCGTCAACGGCCGACGACGAGGCTGCGATACCAGCGTACAATAATCAAAGCCTCTCAAACTCGAACTCGACGGCAGAGTTGTTAGATATTGGTAAGTTACAAATGTGTGCAGAATGGTATATGTCATATCGTGCTTGAATGATTACGAAACTTTTCAGAGGTAAATAATTGAGATCTGACAAAGTTTTCGAGTAAGTGATATCTATGAAAAGTATCAGTGTTTTGGTCAGTAATGCAAGTCCCTTCATTGATGGACCAATTTAGATGCCTTTCGCGGAAGTAGCAATACAGTCCATTGCTTAAATCAGCATTCACTAACCAAAGCGATACTGTCCCTATATATGTGTTTATGTGTGTCCTTATTATTGCCCATCTTCCCTTCGCCTTGCGTCCGCTTTGAGACGACAAGCGCGCGACGTGTCAACTCGTATGTCACTGAGATCATTTCTTGCGCCTTATTTTTCGCTTCGCTCATATATATATGACCTACCTACCTACCTACTTAGTAACCTAAGGCTTACTTCTCTCATGCCTGCCGATAGCGTGTGGTGCTGTTGCTTTTGTTTGTTTGTTTGGGCGTCCGTGTGCGAATGTGTGCCGTTCTTTTACAGAGACGAGCGGAGGGTCAGCTTCGGCGGTTTCTAGCCGCCCAATGTCCACCGACGAGGAAGTAGCCACAACGATTTCCCCCCTCGCGAATTTGTCAGCGACTCCCGTCAGCCAGAAGTCGTCCCCCCTTCCGGAGTGTAGCGGCAACATGCTCGTTGCTGGACTGCCGCAGTCCGCAAATGCCGATAACAGCAGCGGCGGGCATGGGAGCCTTAGTCGATTAGTTTCATCGCAGCAGCAGTCGCAGCAGGAGAAACGACGATCGGCAGCAGCCCTACTTGACGAGACGCCCGAGCCCGTCATAGTAACTCCGACCCATCAGGGTCAGACGTTGATGCAGTCGGGCCTAGGCGTCCAGATGTCAGATCAAGCGGACCTACTGCGGCAGTCAGACGTCAGTCCGAAAAGGCGGCCGACTGGAGGCGTGGCCATGATTAGCGTGCAATCAATTCAGGGAGCCCTGAACAACACCAGTAGATCGCTCGGTAGCCCAGTACAGCGGAGCAAAAGCATGAAGGTAGAGAGCGCGGACGGGTTCAGGGCGGGACAGTGTCAGAACGAACTGTCGCCGGGCGGTCGTCCCCGAGGCCTTAGGCCGGTGTCGCAAATAAGTGGCGATCTTCGGCCTGACCTTGACGTCGACACCCGCGACAATAAGGTGCCTCTTTCCGCCCAGAATTCGCCCGTTAAACGCGGATTTAACGTCAGCTCGGATTTCTTCCAACGCTCAAAGTCCTTCTCCGCCAAAGTTTCTGAAACACATCAAACTTTAGGTATGGCGGGTATAAGCGTCGGATATGTCCTGCTGGACGACATGAATATATATACATATGCATAGGAAAGAGTTTATTGCTACTGATAGGTTTTGTGGCATAGTTAAAATGTACGGTACACTTTACCTGTTTCGTATTAGTGGCAGGTATCCCTTAATTAACTTAGCCACTAACATCTTATTTATTAGTGGGTCGTTAAACACTTATGCAGGGTACATTTGTGCACAATAGTCGCTTCGTACAGCTTCACGTGACTCACCCGCTCTATAATACTGTCGCTACATTAGCCAATTATGTTGTTATTACTACGACATAAAGGAGAAAGCAAAGGGACAGAGGCGAGCGACTAGAGTATCTCGTCAAATGATTAATAATAGTATGTATAGCAACGGTAATATTATAGTTTTGTCTCTATATGTTTGTTTACATCTCTTTCTGTGTGTGTGTGCGTGTATGTGCTTTCCTGCGTGGTCATCACGTATTAAATCTAACTCTAGCATCTCAAGTTTCTAATCTCTATCTGTGCATCGATTTAGTGTCCTAATCTGATCACCTGGTACTTTGTCTGATTTCTGTCTTGTGATTATCCTCTTGTTGTATCATCCTGTTTTCGTGCGCACACTATCGCCAATCAATCAACTGATCAATCAACTAATTCGTCGACCTCCGTTACGCCTCCTGCATCAATCAATCACTCAATCTTCGTTCTTCAATGCGTTCCGAATTGGTGTTGCCTCACATATCGGCTCGATACCGAATCGGTTACTCGAATGGGATGAATTCGTCTACAGAAGGACCGAACGGAAAAGAATTGAACAACCCGATTCAGATTGATGAAGTTGTTGTCGCCGATGTACGAGAAAGTATCAAGAGCTTAGAAAGACGAAAACAGTGTTCTCCCACTGGACTAAACAGCATCCAGAGCGGTGTTCCGTCAACCATTATCACACAAGGCCCCTCAGTTCTTGTCGCAGGCACAATGCCGGCTGTGGTAAACGTTGCGGGACGAATGAGTCCTGCATATTTTCTTCATCAACAACAGCAACAACAACAACAACAACAGCACCATAATCAGCATCAGCATTATTCCAGTGTGACGACCAGCATGGTTTCAGCGACCAGTAACGATCCTGCAGTGGACCACCAAGGTAGTCGAGCTGATGCGCCTACCTCTCCTCCGGCGACATCGCCGTGCCAAACCTCCATGCCCCCGAACCCCTTTGTGCAAGCCCGCATCTATAAAGGTAGCTAGTGTGTTAGGAGAGCTTAATTTAGTGCTCCCTTCTGCCGAGATTCCCACAGACATCGCAAAACCACGCCACTTTCCACTGCTGCTTAGGCCACCTGAGTAGCTTGGTTTGTCCTCTAGCATTCACAGAACAAAAACCTCTGAATGCAATGGTGAAAAGTGGACTACAAAACGATGCAGAGATGCAAGCGACAAATGGAGCATGACTGAATCATCATGAATATACCTGTAGTTCGTTTCAGTTTTAGAGCTCGTAAACCCGTAACTTAGACGCAGTTATGAAGCTAGAGGGTAAATAACAATAATGAAACCTAAAATAACTTTAGGAAATTCGTCAGAACGTGTGAGAAGAACTGTGTCCCTCTTAAACCTTATACGTCATTCTTTCTCATCGCATGTTGTAACCGTTTTCTGATTTTTTCGGATCTGAATGAACTAATCTCAACGTAGACATAAAAGTAATAAGAATACTTGGTACATTCAAACTTAGAGCACAGATTAGTAGATGCGGTTAGGTACAACACGCTGGTCCGCTGTTTGGCGATGTTACGCAACATCATCTTTGCATATGAATTTCCTGACGACTATTGAACAATGAATACATTTTTATTAGAATTACACACTGTAATTACTATTAACTCTAAGAGTAAATTTAATACAACTGAGACTCGAACCATATTTCGTTGCCTCGCAAAAACTATAGGCATCTATTATTATCCAAATTACCCAGAGTTTTTTTTTATCTCCGAGATTTCCTAGACCACAAGACCGTCTCGCTTATAGAGCCTTTCCTCCTTTTCTTTGAAACGAATCGGTATTTTCAAACTATGGGGTGTTTTAACTTTTCCTGTCGTGTGGCTGTTCATACGATGTATTAGGTGCACGGCGTCGTGAAATCGATGACGAGAAGGACGACAAGGTAACGCTTGCGGGCAATGGTGCAGGGCAGTCATCTGCGTTTGCAGGTTCTGGTGCCAAAATGGGGCTGGCGGGAACTGCAGGGGTTGCGGAAAGACCCCGCTCCGAGCTGCTCGAAGGCGTCGAATTGCGGCGGCCAAGAAGCGTCCAGACACGCCTGAGCCCGGATGACGCCTGTGGAAGCGCCCAGCCAAACCTGCAACAACAGCAAACTACAACCAGCTCCTTCGCCGGGGAACCCGAGCTTTTTAAGGTTAATCATAATTGACATAAAGAAAAACATCTCAGTGCCACGCCCTTGTTGAAAACAGTGAACTTAGTTGTAAGCTAATGGTATTCAAGGTGTAGTGCAAAAAATTCTGGTAAGCTTAAGTGGAAACTAATAGGATTCATATTCCCGAACAATATTGGTGCGTGTGTATAAGTTTGTTTGACTCATTTGAGCGCAGTCTACTTCATGGAAGTTTTTTTCGTCATTCGTACTGTCATTATTCTCCCATTGCAGGTCTTTGCAAGACGTTCACTGAAGCAAAAACCGGGTCCACACGTGGAGAAGCAAGATACTGAAATGGAAACGGAGAAGCTCGTCGCTAGGCAACAGGAAAACAATGACAAGGATCAAGCGCGAGAGGGCAAAGTAGCTGGTAATAATAACATTAACAAGTCTACGATTCCTCAGGTCAGATCCGTTACTGATGCCAAACGTATTAGTGAGCCATCGGCCGGTCAAGGCATCGACCATTCGGCCCCAGCCGGTCTGTTAAGTGGCCCTAACTTAACATCCGTCGAGCTGTTGCCCAGTAAAAAGGAACTAAATAAACTCAAGGTATGATCCCTTGCTGGCATTTCCTCCAGTGAAACGTTGCTGGCCGTTTTCTAATTAACTAGATTGCCATCCACCATGATATGGCTGTGATATGTGTAGTTTTTGATGTGGCAATTGCTTCTATTATTTTAAATGTAGGTGACAAGGCGTGAACAGTTGTAAATGTTGCAGATACGATATCACTTACCGTTCGATTTAACACGAAGAACTCACCATGACACATTACTGTGAATTTGCATTACAATTTTATCAACAGATAGGAGCGAACGTTATATCCTCGAAAGACAAAAACAAAGAGTCGTTAGTTGCTTCTAACCAGGAAACTGGCGGCTCCGTGTTGGAGCTTCGACGCGAGGCCGATCAGTTCCGTAGGCAGCAGTCGCTAGCGCAACCCCCTATGAGTCACCAGCCCGAACCCATCAGTCCGGGTGGCCGGGTGGGGCAAGGTAGCTCGCGAAGTCTTCACATGTCCGCACCCATCGGTCAGACAGGCGGAAGCCAGCATCAGACTGGCGAGACGAAGCGTATTTCGGCAGTTTTGTTGCAACGAGCCAGCTCCGTAGCCGTACGAGGAACTGAGGAAAATGCGCAGGAGAATGAGCAGGCACGCACAGGGACCGGTACTCAGGGTAGTGATCAGCCCGAATGGCTGCAATTGGCACAGAAGAAGCGCGAGAAGCGTGAACTTCAGGAAAAGATGGATAACACATCGATGGGAGTAAGCAACGCGGCTAAAGTTCAGGATAGCGCTTCGAATAACAGACTAAGCAGTAGTAACAACTTCGTTAACAGTCAGGAGGTAGGCATCTCCAACTATCCAAATGTAATGTTAGCGTCCCACTAGCTTGTCGGAACACGCTTATAAATAAATACCCAGTTATGAATTTATTAGGGATACCTAGCCAATTTCGTACAGCATGAACAGGTTGCTTCTTGTAACAATATAGACTAACAAAAATAGTAACTAACATATGTAAATTCGTTTTAGTTTAATACAATTCTCTTAAACGATCCTAAAAAACAGAAAATTCATAGAAACATCTCGTTCGATCTTCTCGACCTATCCTAGTCTAGCTTCTCAAATTAAATTCAGTATAATCATCTATATACAAATTACCTATTGATTGACATGTTATTCGTTTTCTTTTGTGATTACGTGCTCCAAATCGCAGCGGCCACTCAAGAAGCTCATATCACACTTCAACAAATAATGATAACTCTTAACAAAGAGAGTAAGATAATATAACAAACACAAAATAACAGAATCACAAACCTAACAGTACAATTTCATCTTCACCGCAAGTTTTATCGACCCATCATTGATTTTCCTGTCCTTGTTATTACAACAATACAACATCATCTACAAACATTCGAGCTGGCCCTCCGGCCAACCAACTGACGGTCTTCAGTTTAGGGTCCGCAAGCCGTCGTCGGTTCATTAGTTGACGACTTCAATACGCCACATGTGTGAGGAGTAAAAGTGTGATGTGATGAGCGACTGCGATGCGAGTGTGGTTCTATGTGACTGGCTGTGCGCGGATACCGTCAACGACGTGATCATAGTAGACAAGAGCAGCTGGAACCTAGGGATCAACTGCACCAAGAACATCTGCCATTTTTAAACAAAAGAACGACAGCTGCCACCATACTTGAGAGTAGGTTAAGAAGCCATTTAATCTGATAACATTATATTACCCGACCCTGCAATCGCGCATAGATGTACGTGTCGTCTACCCTTTCCGCTACTGCTGGACATTGTGACTGTATGGAATTCCGTTTGCATGAAAGCCATTTTGTTCTACACGTTCGTTATCTTTCGGTCTCCTCTGTGCTGATAGTCGGGCGTGCTGAATCCCTGTTCTAAAGAAACGAAAATGTCTTGTGTTCGCAAATACATTTAATTGATTAAGGTATTTACTTCGTTTTATTAGAATCTAAGATCGTCTTCTATTATAGAACGTTTCTTTTGTTTTTATAAAGCGTATCGTCACACGTTTTGCACAAACACGAGGGGTGCATGCCTTTATTTTCTATCGTCAGTGACTTTGTTTAGATCGTCCTGATTTGTGTGAGACTTACTGGGTGCAACTTCGAATTGTACATCAATGATATGGTTGAAGAACTGTCGCCAAGCTCTTCACGTAATCCTCGTTACGACGTACCTATAAGCGAACACATATCTTTAATATTAATCTAAAAATTACATCAATATTAAATACGCACTTTCATTTCACCTATTTCAATCGTTGCTATATTGCCGCATCACACCACGTACTAAGGTCTAATTAACAGTGAACCATTCTACAAAATTTTTAGAAGATTTCTGTTATTACAAAGCCGTATACTGCGCTAATAAACAATACATTTTCAACGTATGGAACAATTAAAGTAGTGTATGTAGTGTCTGAGAGCGTTTCGTGTTCCTTTGTTTGCTATCTAACTTTAATAACCCCTGATTGTTACAAATTACGATTCTATGTTCTTCCGCTAACGTCTGCTACCAATAATTACAGGCTTCTTCAGCAAAACCCTCAGCGGGGCTGAGATCATCCAAGGTGCTCGATCTCGTCTCCAACTTCCAGAAGCTCCAGATGGCGTAAAGTCACCTAAGTAGTGATAATAAAAACAGCTGCAGTTGATAGCCAACGTGTGAGAGATATGTACGGTGTACTCGCTATAAAAGCAACTGTTCCACGCGATGGCGGCGGCGGCGGCGGTAGCACCAACAACAACAGGTGTAGGTAGATGAAGATGATTGAAGAAAATGCGATCACTGCCTACCGAGTTCTACCGAGCGAAATCACTGCCACAAGCCGTCTCCACAACTGATACGCCACATCAACGTCGAAAGGCTAGGAGAGACTAGAGCTAGGAGAAAGAACAACGGAGACGAGAAGAAGTTTCAATATAAACGCCCTAAGCATTAAACTTCCTTTCTAGCGACCTGATTCGAAAAGATGCAGCGCCCGTGCATAATTTGAAGCAGGCGTCGGCGACATCGAACCAGTGTTCAGCTTCAACTTCAATAGCGAGTTGAAGACCGTCTGTTGTAGCCAGGAGGAGCTTAACTAAAATTAAGGCAGTTCATAATTGCTGAAGAAGGAAAACTAGGGCCAAGATGCAGATGTAGTTAAGCGATGGCTGGAACGGCAAACATTTAGCCTTCGCGTAATACGAGTTGATCGATCATTACAACTATTTCAATATAGCTTGCGGCCATCCTGCCCTATAAATATGTACATACGATTTATTATTATACCACATAACAGGATCAAATCTAGTAAAACTGCGATCTACATGCACACCGAATATAGGGTATAACGATGACTATAATTGCAATAAGACCCAATAGCTATTTGATCCATCGATTTCTAAATAGTTGACACTCTGCGAAGTAAGACGAAAAGATGAATAATACGACAGGACTTAGCTAGCTTATACTACATTAGGACGAGGGAACTGGGAAGGTGGGGAAAGATTGACACGAAGTTTGGCACACACTGGCTAACGGTTTTACGGACAATATTATGCCATAATGTCGAGATGTATCTGTACATATATATATATATATATAGAGCGCGAAAGAGTGAGAGTGTTTGTGTGTGTGCGAGAGGGAGGGAGAGAAAGAGAGGGTATAAAGTTCCCGTACTACAAGATACTGTCGGCAAACGATCTTTAGTAGGCGAACTAACACAACAGATCCAATTAATGACAAAATCTCGAAAAGATGATCACCTTTTCCATTTTAGTCTAATCGATGAAAACAACCTGCCCTCCACAATCCCGTGTGTAGGGATCAGTGCAAGAAATGAAAAAAAACGGACAAGCAGAAATATAGGAGGTATCTTGCCTACGACTAACGTCGATGTACGTTCGAGACTGTTGTTTGTAGAGGCTTCTCCCCGGTTTGTAAAGGATGCGCCCTGTAACTGGAAAATCTATGAAAGAGAACAAATATATAGGAAGACCTGAGTGGCGGCAATGATTCCATTCATTAATTCATACGCTGTGTATGTGATCACTGCTTCCAATTCTCCTATCAATTCTGTGGTTATTACCATCACGGCTTGTATTCTAATTATGATTGTAGTAATTGTATTGTAATAACTGTTCTTATCTGACATTACGACAATTAAGACGAAGCCAGCGACATCTGGCTTGTCGTTGATAGTAGTCGACGATCGCCGATTATGTACTTCTAATCAGTCCACCGCTTCCTCTTGTGCTTCAAACGTTATTAATGATTCTATCAGAAAAAAACAAACAAAGAATAGAGATCCGATATCTAGAATTGTTCTCCGAAAGTACTAGAGCACAGAACTTCATAGAAGTAGGACAACACCAATTCTAGTGGTTGATAATATGCTAAGGAAAATGAATACATAAACGTCAAACAAGAGGAACGGAAAATAATAACGATGATATTATGCTCTAGAAAAACGCCGATGTCAACGGCGGATGTAGAAAAAAGGGAACAAGGAACGTACTTGAGGCAGACACGCATCAAGAAAAACAATTGTAGAAATATTGTGTGTGTTTAAACCAATAAAACAATGGCTAGACACAGTTAACTAAACGTTGCCATCTATCTATGTACCTGTTAGAAGGTCAGGAAACAGCGGGAGTGAAAACACAAATTAGGACGTTAAGCCCATTCTTGGGGACTGGGTAGTGTTTTAGATGAGATTGATGATGTTTATTAAAAGTGAGATTACGAAGAGTTCACAGTTCATAGTCGAAGCAAACAAAACAACCTAGTTCTGGTTTTTTGTAGCATCAAGTTTTTTTTTTTTTCAATTGAAGGTTTTTCCCCATAATTTGCGTAATGTAATAATGTTAAAAAATAGGTAACAGACTCTAATTGGGTTTCTAGGTCTCTAGTTGGCAAGTGGTCTGCCGAGCTTTTTTGAAATTCAGCCAATGGCAAGAAGATCGGTACTGCAAATCTTGCGTTGCATACAGCTGTATTCTGTTAATCTTCGCCGTCAACCAGATCCAGTAACTGATTGATTTATTGGCATATCGGTGTCTTTCATACCTAAAATATATGCATCAAGGCACAAGAATATCAGTATTTCGTGATTAGTTAGTCACATATATTTTGTACATCATCTTCTCTGGATTTTGGCGCCATATGGAGGTTAAAGTAGTTTGAGGGTAGAGTATTGACATTTCCGTTTCTGATCAGAACAACTGCACCAGGGTCATCTTCGCTTCCTATAAGCTTGCAAAAGACGAACATAACGACGAAGTTGCGGATGACCTCCATAGGCGTGTATCTACTGCCGCGCGAGGATTCAGTACTGATCGACTGATTGCAGCACTGACCAAACAATGATCATAATAATGGCAGTACTCAAGTACTATTTGGTTGTCTACTGACCTGATACTGATCAATGAGTCTACTGGCGTACAAACGATCGAATTTATCCCATCTATAGCTATGATATACATAAGGGTCCTATGATAACTGATGGACAACTGAAATTCTATATAAGAATATGTAGCATTATGTCTAGATGCTTAAATATGAGCTGGGCTCAACGTCTCGCTGATTGTCAGTCGATTCCTTTTGCAAGTTGCTGGTGAAACAATGTGATCAAGATAACAACCCGCCTACTTTTGACAAAAGTAGACCCAAATGAACAATTCATTCATTCATAATATGTTGAACTAAGTTACTCACACAACCCGTCAATATATACTCGACACAGAATATATGGGGGTAAGAAAGACAACAAAAACTTCCTTGTCTGGTTTATTGTTTGGTTGGTTTGTACAAAGCCCGAGAATCCAAAAGAGCAAATAGAGCTAGTAATTAATCATTTACTTAAAACATTGAGTTCCAGCCAGTTGTCCTGATTGCAGTGGTGTCTTCCTTTGCCTTTCCATTAGTATCAAGAGAATGAACGAGCTACTTTTATTAACTTGAATAAATAGAGTATCTGTAGGGACTACAGTCTCCTTACTTGAGTTATTCATGAAGGTCTGTAAGTCTAAAATGCAATGTAAATACGCTGACATGGCGATAGGGTAGGCCATCCTCTATTACCGGCTGCATGTATACTTGTAGCATACATCAGTCTCAGGTATATATGTCAGTCGAACGGTCTCCCGGTTCTATTTGTAGTGTATATCGACACGAACCGGCACAGTGTGGGCGTAGGCCAATAAGCCCAACAACGAGCATGGTACGATTGTCGGATGATAAAATATCGGTTATATAGGGTTATTCAGGGCATTGGCAAATTTGAATAGCCGTTGGCCTACCCCGCCATTAGCAAACTAAATTAAATATTTACGGTAAGTATGATATCTACAACTGAAAGCTAATTGAGTATCCTCGAGTACTAATAAGTTTAGTGCTGAAAATCATAGGTCACTAATGAAGTCTCTGCTCCTCGAAAATCAAAACATTGGAATCCATCAGAAGCACTCGGCAGAAAGCCTTAAGTAAAACAACAACACAGCGATAAATTGGCGGACGAGGTGATTACGTTTTAGTACTCTGTACGGGGGAACAAGTCACTGTGGTCACGAGAACTTCTCGCCTATGACAATGAAGTGCTCAAGTAAGTTATGCAAGACGTAATTGTTGTTGCGTACACGAGACACGTGTTTCCGTGTATGTTGGACCCAGTTTTGGGGGCACCATTTTCTGCTTCGGTTGTTTATCCTCAGTGTCTTCGTTACAATCTCATCACATGCATTGAGGAACCCCGTACCGAGCTGAATGGGGCCTATCATTCATGTTCTATTCAGGAACTTCCGTGATACCCACAGCAGCTCATTCTTCGGAGTGAATTTTGGGGTATATTCACCTCCTCTCTGGTGTTCAATCTTTTAACTTCCGTTCACGAAATGATTAAACCAAAAATGAACTGTTCCTTCATTCAAGGGCAGTACGTGCTGCTATTGATCTTCAATGGCATTTACCGTCTAGAAGATAGGGATTCCATCACTTAGCGTCCATTTTCAGTGCTAAATGACATGAGGGCACTCGATCAGCCTACCGTCATAAACAGCCGCAGGCTTGCCAGATATGAACATATCGTAAATTTCCGTTGTTCCGGTGTCTAGTTTTTAAGTGTTTTTCACATTAATTATCATTTTATTGCTGTCCTACTTTATCATTTAGCTTAAATTAATTCTAGTTCTTTTAATATTTATTAAAAAAATAACTTTTATAACGGTAAATAATTTATTTGATGAAATCTCGTAGATTAATTGCGGTTAGTTCAGTGTCAGTATGACCCAGTTCTATTCAAGCTAGGATTGGTCATCATCACATGTTGGCATTTAAGAAAAACACCTAGTATAGATATAAAGCAATTATTTTGTCCAGCGTAATTATTTACATTTCCGTGTTGTTATTTTCTGAGATGATAACATACGATCGTTTGCCTTCCAGTTAAATCCAAGTTTTCCATTATGTGTTATCGTTGGAGTCAAATATTCATGTGGTCACTTCCTAATGAAGGTCAATTGTAAACGATAAAAAGTATGAATGGTGTGGAGCAATTTGTAGGCCTATAGTAGTACCATGTTTTCCGACTTGGCGTTCTGTATACACAGTTTTCCTCTAGGCGGCCTTATTGCAAAATTTCTAACTAACGGGTTTGTTTATCTACAGTTTACCTTAAATCACGTAAATTTTTGCCCCAGAGTTGCATCGCCCTGTGATGAACGCGTGCGATCAGTCCGTTACGACAATCAGTAATAAAGAATACCCACTTTTAAGCGTAACACCAATAGCAACGTCCAAATATGACTGGCTTAATTATCGGCTGCGAATAGTATTAGAAATGTAGCCGATGGAATTGTTGTGGTGACTTTTTTTTGCCGAAAAAGGAACGCAATTTTGATTGGGCTGTTTTTGTAGTCTGTCCTGCGCTTGCACCTTACTGCCCTCGTGGATCCGCTACCATTTATCGCAGCGACAACGACCAGCGTAATACGAAGACCTTTTTCATCACCAGAGGCAGGACTGGCACGTATAGATTTGTGTATCGCATAGGCACAAAACACTCCTCTAGCTCGAAGTTTTTCATAAATACCCTACGTGCCGTATGATCATAATTGGCACCTCGTTACTTCACACTGTCTATTCACGTTCCTTCACAACAAACTTCAGACATTTCCTTATTCGTACTAGTATAGATACGCGTCGTCAATTATTATGCTGCAAGTATGATACCAAACATCAGTTGAGTGGGACGTGTGTCATACAAATCAGGCGGACAAATAGCGGTTTAAAGGGCCATTTCCTGATAGTACTTTGCCTCGGCACCTGACGTGATTTCCGGATGCTACCAAATCCTGAAGGACTGTTTAGCAGTTATGCAGACTAAGTAAGCCTGCGGGACCTGTTTCACGACCATGTATAGTTGGCCATGAGCAAAAATACTTTACGCTGGCCATTATTAAACCAACGTCTGAAAAATATGACCATTTATTTAAGGTGTATGAAACAGTCTGCGCACCTGGTGTATATTCGCTAGGATATTTAAATCTCATATATTTTGTTTAGGGGGGTAAGGCAATATAACAGGAGATCTAGAAACACTAGATGGCAAACGCGAGAACGTGCTTCGAAATAACAATGTTGGCTTGCTTTTCTGGGAATCTGACACGCGTCAAGGCATGTGTACAGCAGTTGGGATAAATAATAGGCGCTAACTGTCGAACTTATCTAACGAGCGCGTGAGTCAAATTAGCGATTTTGGGTCGACAGAATACAAGAGTGCCGCTACGACCGCACATCGATGATGGAGGTAGAGGATAGCTTATTAAAAATATGGAATGGTTGTTACAATAATGGTTCTTTAAACATGTAAAGCAGTTATGGAGATATATAAGACCGCATTTCAGCCAAAAATCATTGGTCAGTCGAGGAAAATACCAACAATTGATACAAAGAGAATGGTCTTCTATATTTCACGATTAGGTAACGAAAATCTATACAGGTAGCGTATCCAAACTACAGCAGGATCGTGGATCGTTTAATCCCCAGCTATATTCCAGTCATATATATATAAATGTATGACTAGTCTACTCGGCTCCGCATTGTCGAAGGATTCGTGTAGCAGATTAGTTGGTGTGCTGAATTTTTGGAAGGTTAAAAAGAATCTTGTCAAAGAAGTTACGCGAGCTGGCTTGAACGCTGATGGGACCTATCTTATTACCAAGGCTGTTTTTTTACAACTGTAGTACTGCCTCCAAAAATGCTTGGGTGTAGTTCTGCTTGTACAGAGGCTAAAGCGCTTCTCTGCCAGGGGCCCCGCACATATTTCGTACTGTTCCTATAAGAATGACGGTTTAGAATTAGTCTACCGAAAGTCCATACTCGCTATATATATATATATATATATATATAATTAGCACGAACTGGGCACCTCATTCATGATTCAATACGCAGAACGTTTTTTCATGTAGAAACTTTGCAGTGATGTTTTAGTCACCACTGGAGCGTTGATAGCGTGTACCCCACAACGTACTTTGTCAGTGGGTAGTGAGGCATTTTCTATATATATACATTAGCAATGCGATAATCCCCGGCGGAATC